TCATCATCATCATCATCATCATCATCATCATCATCATCATCATCATCATCATCATCATCATCATCATGTGCAGTAAAGTATATTCTGACTTATGGCAACCCTTTTCAGGATTTTCCAGGTAGAAAATGTGGTTTAGCATTCTTTTCTTCTAGTGATACCCTGGGACTGTGCAGCTTGCCCAAGGCCACACAGGCTGGCTCTGCTCACAGGAGGCACAGTGGGGAATCGACCCCCCAACCAGATACCTAAACTACTGACCTATTCAGACAGCTAGTCAATTGAGAGGCATGTATTAAAGCAATTTTTTTAGCCTTTCCACAAAATCCCCATAGCTCCTCAGTTTAGAATGGGGGACTGCAAAGCTGTTTTTCGCCTAGATAAGGACAAGATATGCACCTCTGGAAGCCTACTTCCATATTCAAGAAGACTTAAGATAGGTTAAGCAAATGGCAAAAGTATGTTGCAACCTGGAAGTTAACAAAAGATCCCAAAAGATCTGGCAGCCAGAGTCTAAACAAAAGCAACAAATCCCCAACTAGCCTCTGAAAATCTTCCAAAATATATATATTTTTGCATTTTGCTGCAGTGTCCTTGGTGCTTAGAATAAATATTGCAGAGAATGCACTGGACACAGGATCCCATTCCTCCATACCCAGAAAAAAGAAAAACTAAACTGAGGTTGCTTTTTAATGTGCTGGGCACCCAGTGTGGTGCATAAAGGCATTGATTCACTTACTCTATCTTGGCAAGACTGTAGAGTTGGCCTTTTTATAGCTGCCTGTGCTAAATCAGTTACAGACTCTGCACTAGTCCATTGCATCCTACTGTTTTTCTGGGATATGCTTTTCATGTGCACTGCAAACATAGGGAACAATCTCAGGCCAACAGGAAGGCAAATAACACTGATGATCATCAGCAGTTTTGTGACTCTTCAGCTGCCACTCAAGAGAAGCAGCTACCTAACAGCCTACATAGTTTGGCTCTAACTCTCATTGTTTCAGTACATTGATAGGTATCAGAACTATGTTGTGGAACATGAACTTCAACAGATTTCAGTGAGCAAAAAAGACCAATTAGTGTGTTCAATTAAGATTTTTCAGACCAAGGTTTAAGTCTCTACCTACCTTTGAAACTCAGTGGGTAAATTTGGACTAGTCTCTCTCGAATTACCTAATAGAGTTATTGTAAGGCTAAAATGGGGACGGGGAAAATAACTGCGTGCTCGGTCTTTAGCCGCTTGGGGAACTTGTGCAGTCATAAGACATGCAGCAATAGGATGGATATCTCGTCAACACTCTTGTCTGGGGATTTCCTCTACATGGTATCTATAGAAATCTTATCCATGTGAGAGTAGAAGAAACTTATTTTCTGAATCCTTCCATTATAAGAATAATGTTGTTGTTGTTTAGTTGTTAAGTCATGTCCAACTCTTTGTGACCCCATGGACCACAGCACACCAGGCCCGCCTGTCTTCCACTGCCTCGCGGAGTTGGGTCAAATTCATGTTGGTAGCTTCGATGACACTGTCCAGCCATCTCATCCTCTGTTGTCCCCTTCTTCTCTTTCCTTCACACTTTCCCAACATCAGGGTTTTTTTCCAGGGAGTCTTCTCTTCTCATGAGATGGCCAAAATATTGGAGCCTCAGCTTCAGGATCTGTCCTTCTAGTGAGCACTCAGGGTTGATTACCTTTTAAATGGATAGGTTTATTCTCCTTGCAGTCCAGGGGTCTCTCAAGAGCCTCCTCCAGCACCACAATTCAAAAGCATCAATTATTCGGCTGTCAGCCTTCCTTATGGTCCAGCTCTCACTTCCATACATCACTACTGGAAAAATTGTAGCTTTCACTATGCGGATCTTTGTTGGCAGAGAATAATACTAAAGTACAAAGGATAAATTCTGGGATTCATGTTGTGACTTAGTCAGATCTTTTCCTGCCTATCAGCTATCGCTTTCAAATGCCTTCCTAGGACATTTACAATTTGGAACAAAATCTGGCAGTTTCATTTGTAAAACAGAATCAATAGATGTGGGACAGGACATCCTTACTTCCTATATAGCTACTCTTCTGCAGTTATAACCCTGTGAGGCAATTTAGTGCTGGGCCCAAATACCTCCACAAAAAAGATGTTTCAGTTGGGATTTAAACCTGGCTTTCCAAAGCCCAGCATATCCAACCATAGCTAAGTGAGGTGAATATTTCAGGTAGCTGATTACTGCTGTATTTTTACTCCACAGGACATGTATTTGTGTGATTTTCTGTGTTTGTTGACAAACTGATATGGTCAAGTAGAGGTGCAATGTATGTGGACTAAGTTAGTTGGGAGGATGTCTGCTGCTTTGCCTCAGATGGAAAAATGTCTGGAGCCCACCCTAAAGTCTGGCATTTAGCAGTGGCACCTTAGTGATTCTCATGAGTGAGCTAATGAAGGCCTTGCTTTGTGTTTCTCTGCAAAGTAGTCTAAATAAAGGGCTTTTTAAAAGATAAGTTATAGTAGAAGTCCGACTACCTGGTAATGGAAATGTTTCTCACTTGGACAGCTGTTTGGCAACCTGCAGAATGCCACACCTTTGTATCAGATTGTGAGCAAGCCTCTTTCACGCACAGCAAATCCTCAGCTGCCTGAGGGAATCAGCACCTTTGAGATGCCATCATAACAGAACACATCTTGGCACCATTCATAAGCATGTCTCCCAGTATCTGTTGGGTTTCAGAGAGATCCAGTAGCTGATGGCATACTTTGAGGTGTGGAAAGCAAACCAGGGTGTGGCTACATTGCTGAGGTCTGTTCCCCCCCCCCCCAGTCACTGATGTGAACATCATTCAGTTCTGTAAGAACACAACCTGAGTTCATTTGTGGAAATACTAGAGATTAAAAGAAAAGCACAAAAACCTCATATTGACTTGGGAATCTGCATCGGCAGAAAGCTTTGTGAGCCGTCCAGTTTGCCGTCACCGTTTACAAAATGCCTAACATTTGCTGAAGTGTAGTATTTTATTCTGAATGACAGCAAGGAAATAAAATAAAATAAACACTACGAAAGCATGGAGTTCGTCCAGCTTGGTACCCCAGTAGATTTCCTTGATGAAAGGCAGTAAGCATTTTATTTCAGGACTGAGAGGGAGTGTGCCATCTCGCTAGAAATAAAAATGCAGAAATTGCCGGCTTGGTGGAAATTGACTGTAGGCTGGAAAAAACAGCGAGCACGGCAAAAAAGCCCTTAATGAATACAGAGAGGTTGGCTAGCTTGAACAAGAGAGACCTTGTTCTGGTTTTTGTTCACCAGGGGCCCTCAGAATGTGTTAGGTTTTGTTGCAACAAGACTGTGTGTGTGAGACGGCTACAAACCACCACAGTAGCAGCCAGTCTCTACATATTGCAGTAAAAACTTTGGTGATGATCTGGTGTTACTTTTGCCTAGTAGATTTTTAAAAGATGATGGAATTTCCTATTCCAAAGAGAAGGACTCCCTTTCATATTTCCATGAAGCGAGTGTGCCAAAACATTCTAAAACCTAATGAGAAGAATGTAAAACTGTTGTTATCGTAGTTGGATGGCTAGGTTGTTCAGCATGTGATTTAAAAATGCTGGCGGCTTGTATTCTTCAGCTGGGGCCAAGGTATGGGGACTTGGCAGGGAGAAGAGAGAGCACAATCTTCACAGCTGCTGCCGCCACATCACCACATTGCTCTAACAAAACCAGGTTTACCTTCCTGGGCTCCACAAAGCTTGTGGCAGTGTTTGGTTTAGTTATGGAGGCAAGTGATCTGCTCACACAGAATTAAGTTCAACCTGATGTTCAGCCTGATGCTCAAGTGTTGCAGCGGCTTGCAACTCACACAAAATTCAATCCAACCTACTGTTCTAAGCACAGGCATTTTTAAGTAGGTAAATTGAAAATGAAATCTGAAGGAATAAAAATGGAAGAAAGCTGTTTAAAAAAACACACACAACTGCAACTTCAGGTTCTCCCAACCATATGACCATACTCATTTTGTAGTAACCTTTCATAGAAACTCAACTTTTCTCTGCCAGTCATGGCATGCTTCTGACTTCTACGCAGGAACATACAGTGCAGAGAATATTATAAACTTAACTAGGCTATAAGGTTTCTCTGGTCAGTTGCCAACTTAATTTACACATCTCAGTAGAGAAGATGTGAAAAAGATGGCGTGCAGCTTTCATGGTGTGTCTTCTGCTTGTGGAGTTTTCCCCCTCAAATTGCTTTTCTGTATGTAGTTAAGAAGAAAGGAGAAACAT